CTCAGATTTTTAGATATCGCTCTCATTTTTCACCTAGACCACATTTGTTGGATGTACAAGCCGAGGAGTAACAAACCCTTGCTTCCGTACCACTCCGCCCATACTAAGCTCGTAAAACGAGGCATTGTAAATATGTGCTTTAGTAACGCCTTACAGAGTTCTTGTCCACATCTGATGGCAGCTGGTTTCAGGGAACAAGTAGAACGACTTCTGGACGCTGGCTACCCCTCTCACGTACAGGTTTCCGTCGCGGGTATTCTGGTCAAGAAGCTTCAGTCCTTGCAGCAAGCTCACCCTCATGATGAGCCAGTAAGACGTCAGAAGCTTGCCGTAGTGCCTTATTTGCATGGAATCTCCCACAACTTGAAAAAGGTTGGGGAGCGGGCCAATGTAAAAGTGGTGTTTTCTGCCCCGAAAAAGCTCTCGTACTTGTGTATGAAAGTTGTTTCACATGCAAAACCGGGATGCTCTAAAAATCACTTGACACTGCATGTCACATGCGCGCAATTTGTAATCTATCAGATAACTCTTTCATGCGGTAAATACTACATAGGACAAACTGGCAGGTGCATTAATGACCGGCTCCGCGAACACGCTTGCAACGTAAGAAATGGTCGAGATGGTTTTTTGGCACTACATTGCAGCACGTGTGGCTGCAAACCACTTTTTCATGGTACGATAATCATATGAAAAAACAGAAATAAAGTGACAAGGGAGATTATTGAAGCAGAAAAGATTAGTAGATTAGGGCTGAACTGCGTCAGCACTCCTTCTCTCGGTCTTTGTGAAAAAGAACTGTCGTTTTTGAGAGCATAAGTTTTTTGCGCATGGCAATAGAGGGTTTTTCATCTGTTTATCTGTTGTCTTCGAATTTCGTGAGCATATATATGTACGCTCCTCGAAATAAAGATTTTGTTGGAAGTAAGCGCTCCCTTCTGTCCCTTCCCTTGTCCTGTGTTTTTTAACGCGCTACGTCAATCAGCAGTAATATCCCTGGATCAGATGAGTCCTCTAAACGAGAAGGGAGACCACATACTCGTGTGTACCGATCACGCAACGAGATAGATACATGGCCGCCGTGACTGTACCAAGCACCTCGTCGACGCACTATCTTGACTTCATGACAAACTGGTAGATTCTGCGATTTGCAGTTCCCTGCGTCATTATTACGGACTAAGCCAAGGAATTCGTGAACAAGAAAACGAACCAATTCCATCACAGATTGGGAATCACTCATCAGAACTCCTCACCGTACTGGCCACAATAAAACGGACTGATTGAGCGAATGGTGGTGACATTGAAGCAGGTGGTACGCAAGATGCTAAACAACAAGGACAAATGGCACAAGGAACTACCCCGAGTGACGCTAGCAATCAACGCCACGAGGCATTGTCAGAGCGGCCACAGCCCATTTTGGCGCATGCACGGCTACGACCATGCACGGCTACGCCACGAGAGCTCAACCTCGCCTCAGTCGAGACAGACATCTATGAGTCTCATAGGCTGCATGACTTGGCAAAGGGACGCGCAGAAACGAGGGAACAGCTAATGCAGAGTCAGTGCAAAACAACAATCCGATACGACGAGAAGCGGTGAGCTCCGAGGTTCACATCGGGCGACCTCGTCCTGCTTGAGTTGAGCGATAGAGGTGCACCAGATCCTCGTTATGAAGGTCCGTTCCAGATAACGGCCCTTGCTGCAGAAAACAGGGCCGAAATCCAGAGAGTAGCCCACACACCGGGCAAGATCAACCGAAAAATTGTCAACGTGGAGCAGTTTCATAGACATAAGGAACCGCACCTAGAAGTTACGGAACCATCGCTATCGAACGACACGTGCGCTTGAGGACTGGCGCAATTTTCGGGAGGGCCATGTCAGCGCCACTCGACTTCACACAGCCAGATTCCCCGGCAGCACCTCGGCGCCCGCACAAGGAACGCCACACTACGTAAACGTGGACTCCGAGCTCTGAGCGCGTCCGCTCGATGTGGTTGCCATGAAGCGTTGCTTTGACGATCATTCAAAAAAAAAACAAAAATGAGCTTGTGAGCCGGGAACGCATAGCAACCCATCGCCAGAAAGAAGAGCGAGCCAAGACACGAGTGGCGTTGGACGTAGTCGATCGAGATCCTGCACCGAATCCCACTTCCCTCTACATGTGTCCACTGCCGATTCACTTGTAACTTTAGTACATTTCAGTTTACTTCTTAAAAATCGAACCGTGCCTTATCTCTATAATTCACCCATCGCTTCCATAAATATTGGGGAGTAAGTGGGGTAAACTGTTACGTAGGCACCTACATAATAAAAGGTACGGAAAACGTTCGAGTCAGCAAGCATTTGCCTGCAAAGCACTAAAGAAGCCCTACAGCACGCACAGCACTAAAAAGGCATTATGTAGTATAAAGAAGAAGAGTTCGACGACGTCGAACGAGAAGGAAAAACGAGCGGCATCCCACTCATGTCCGGAAGTTTACGTTTACTCCCCACAGCAGTGGTAGAATGTCTAGCTAATGACGAGAAGTTTGCTCATCATGAGCTGAATGAGTGATTTACCGATTAGCATCACAACATCATTAGGCATGGTGTTCTGATAGCTGTCTGACAAATTACGTGCATTAGCCAATCGATACGGTTAGAACTCGTCCACAGGTTCTTCAATTGGTGCACCGCTAGTGGTAGTCGTTGGTAGGGCAGATCTCGGAAATATTTCGTGTTCCTGGTTTTCTTCTACTGCCCTACTAATGGGAGGGAGAAGCTTAAGAAATCCAAAAGACAGTGAGGTGAAGTGAATTTACATTAGTTGTAGCTTTTAATTTCAGTGAACTGGCTGTCCCGTAAACAAAATTCAGTGAAGTAAACAAAAAAACTAGTTTACGTTACGTCTGGCTTACACTGACGGCAAGGCGTCTTATCGTTGAAGATAAATACTTTGCTTTATAAAAATACGCTTTATATGCTATTCAATTCATTCTACGGTTTCCACACTGCTTGTAATATTTACAAATATGGTCACTTATGACTTCGTTGTATTTACTGCGTGTTAGCTTCATCAGAATGAGTGAAATATAAAGACATCAGGAGCTCCGCAACTTGTATGGCGTACGTGTACTGAATATTTTTCATTTTGCTGTAAATTTTTTATTTCGAGTTAAATACATTCTTTGCCTTCCCCCCAAGATTACTAAATGTGGATTCCTCCAATACGACAGCAAGTATATCTCTATTGCAAGAAGAGACACCTACGAATGAAGTGAAACACGTCTGAACGTTTTACATAGAATTGTTGCAGTAAAAACGGGGCCGAAAAAAGCATTGTTATACATGTGATTTGTAGCATGGTTCTACCCTGCGCCTTCAATAAATGCAATTCCACAGCATTAGTCAGTTCTTTTTTTTTTTCGAGCGTTATGATCAAATTGTCGAGGAAATAAAGGTATTGCTATCACAGCTCAGAGCCAGTGGAATCAATATGGCCGCCAAACACCACACAGCATGGCGGAGGGAGGCTCGTATGCGCGGGAGGCTCTCCAGACTTTCACATATACAACTGCAGACACAATGGATACGTAGTCACTGCGCCACATTATATACGATACTGAGGTGATGTCATGGGTACACTGCTAACGCACACTGACTACGAAAATAAGTTGGCTGGAAAGTTTATGTTACCAGTACGAAAGGAAAACAGTATAATAAAAAGCACAAGAAAAACAAGTCCTTCTTAGTGAGCGAACCCTGTGGAGCTGTCATTATGAATCAAGAGCCAATGGCATGTGTAGTACAAACTACGGTGCTTTGAATGTCTCAAGTGAGGCGTGAGCTTCATAAACAGAATCCGTTTCTCCTTTGACAAGCCTTTCACTCAAGTATGTGGTCAAGCAATAAACCAAGCGCCTGCCAGAGCATTGGTTTTTCCTTTGATAGGTAACATAATCATGCCTTTGAGTACGAGCTAGCCTGTGTCTATTCCCCGTCACGTTGAAGCACCTGAGTATTTTTAGATACCACACTAATATTTAGTTTGGCACCACAGAAGGAAGCAGTGTGAAAAAGGTGAAACCAAACAAAGAAGAACCAAGCAACCGCTTTAGTTTGGCACATTTGGGCAAATTATTACTGATTGAACATTATGCCTACGGGCAAATTGTAACTAAAAAGAGTACAGTTTGGCAACCTTGAACAAACGAATGACATATTTAAATATACGTCATTACACCGAAACGTTTGTGCCCCACAGTGGTACACGTGCTGCATTTCCGAAGGAGGTGGAATTGTTGTAGGCCCGTGTTCTCAAATTTTGGTGCATAGTGAATAACCCCAGGTGGTCGAAGTTTCCGGAGCCCTCCGCTACGGCGTCTCTCATAATCATAAGGTGGTTTTGGGACGTTAAAACTCGCAAATATATTTATTAACTAGTTAGTGGTACATGTGAAGGAGCAAGTAACCTATTCCTGTCTGAAGGTCGCACACTTTTGCAGAGATTGCAATATATAAAAAAAATGAGTAGGTTTTCAAACAAAAGCTAACATTTACCGTTGTATCCATTGAAAAGCTCGAAAATGGTAAAGTTGGGAGAGTCAGCCTATCAGTGGCAAAGACACAGAAAAGTGGAAACATGCACTTTTTCAAGTGTTACCGTAATTATTCAGGTTGGGAAATTCGTTACCTAGTAAAAATAAATAATTTGATATAAGGACGCATCCTTCGACAAATCTGTCTTTACCCTCCTATAGCAATATTTACTCGAGACAGCTTTAAAGAGTGCTCGCTATTCTATCTCTCACTGAAAAATATAATATAAGCACTCCCTTTTTGAGGCATATGTTTAGTGCTGCTTATTGAAGGGCTGATGTCACATTTGAACAAGGCTCTTTTGTGCGACAAAATGGAGTTGTACTGCTCAGACAGGCCCTATTGTATGAACGTGCTTATGTCGGGCTGGCGCTGATGACAGCTGAAAAGTCGTCTCTTCTACTTAAAAAAGCTGCTGAGAGACTATGAAGATGTACACAGCAGTCATAACTCTGTCGTGGTGTCTTCTGTTAGGTTTAGCCACTTTGACCGCAACTTTCGCTGAGAGTAGCAAAAAATCGACGAAGTATTCTTACGATAGTCAACGAAAGATTTGGGCTTTGCTCGTGGCTGGTTCGAAAGGTTACAGCAACTACCGACACCAAGCCGACATATGCCACGCTTACCACGTGCTCCACAAACATGGCGTTCCTGACGAGCGCATCGTAGTCATGATGTACGATGACATCACCAAGGCCCAAGAAAATCCAACACCAGGAGTGATCATCAATCATCCCAATGGTACGGATGTATATAGGGACGTTCCTAAAGACTACACAGGGGACCTCGTCACCGCGAAAAATTTTATTAGCATTCTACAAGGCAAAAAAGTGAAAGGCGGCAGCGGGAAGGTCATATCGAGTGGCCCGAAAGACCACGTCTTCCTCTACTTCGCGGGTCACGGGGCACCTGGTCTTCTAGTATTTCCCAACGACGTTCTGCACGCTCAAGCCTTCATGAATGTGATTAAAAGCTTGAACAAAAGGACGTTCGCCAACATGATCATTTACGTAGATGCTCCCGAATCTGGTTCAATGTTTGATGGCCTGTTAACCGCCTCTTATAGCGTCTATGTCCTAACCGCGGCTAACCCTTACGAGTCCTCATACGCTTGCTATTGGGACGCAAAAAGACAAGCGTACTTGGGTGACTTATTCAGCGTCAGCTGGATGGAAGATGCTGACAAGAAAGACCTGGGAAAGGAGACGCTCTTCAGTCAATTCAATGTGGTGAAGAACAAGACCTACACAAGCCACGTCATGGAGTACGGAAACAAGCAGATCAGAAAACTTTCTGTCAGCGAATTCCAGGGTAAAAAGAAGCCGAGTCCAATCATGCTACCAAAGGCATCAGATGATGCTGTCCCAAGCCAGTACGTCCCCATTGCCATCATAAGAAATAAACTGGAAAGGGCATCTGACCCTAAAGAATTGAATTCTTTGAAAGCCAAGCTGCGCCGAACGCTAAGAAACCGATTATTCCTCAAGAATAAGGTCGCCAAGATTGCCTCTTTCGTTGCCCGAGGTAAGTCGAACGAAGCCGACATAGTACTGACATCCCAGCGGCAGCTTACCAAGTATGCTTGCTACGAGAAGGCAGTGAGGCAATTCAGTGAACGGTGCTTCGACCTCTCGCGAAATCCCTACGCCTTTCAGCATCTGCGAGTTCTCATGAACATTTGCGAGTTGTCATACAGCAGTTTGGACATCACTGAAGCCATGGACGTGTTGTGCACGCACCCTAATGTCGAGGATATTGTCTGAATAAATATTTCAAAAATAGCAGCAATGCCTTCCTTGCAGTGTTTACTTCAAAGTCAACAATAATGTGACAGCCTAACTTAATATTTGTAAATGTTTAATTTAATGCTGCTCACTTGACGCAAGAAAGCTTGCATGCGTCCATTGTTCTGTGTTAATTATGCGTAAGCTAAGATATCGTGTTTCATAAATAACGTGGTGTCTACCTATTTGTATTTACCTAAGCAGTCTCTGTGTCTTGTTGTTCAAATACAAGGACTTAAGAAAATTACCTCGCGCCGCCTTCTTGTACTGCGTATTGGCACTTTGAAGAGTGCGAATAAACTTGATCAGTTTAGGTGCTCACTGTATTTCGGCTAAAATCTAAAAAAATAAAAAATTTTCGGAGCACGCCCTAATATGTCTAATAGGAAAAAAGGTGTACAAAAGGAAATATCCATAATAGGCTTTTGGACAAAATTGGGTGCTCTAACCCGTTTATGTTACGTGCAGTCCCAGGCAAAAACATTGGGCACATCCACTGCTTTCTGTTAGGTGCAGTCGCAGAATGGTCTGCTTGTGACCCCGTAGCAGACTTCACGAGGACTCGTAGTGGTGGTAGTTGGTGGAGTTTCCGTCTACGTTTAGCTGAATATTTTCCGCTGATCTCACTGGGCTGCCGCAAATTGACGAGAACGTAGTTTTGAGATATTACGGGCACATCGACGTGTCCCGACAGCAGTTCAAAAGATATCGCCAGCTTCACAAACTGTCTTACGTGGGTCTGTTGATCAGTGACGTGTGCATCATTTCTGAGATGGACGTTGAAGTAGGTTATCCCTATATTAGGAACTGCGAGATAGTATTTTAAGACAAATTCAACAACACCAAATTTATCGACCAATAGCTGGAGAAAAAGATAGAGAAAGGTTTAGTGAAAGGCAGGGAGGTTAATCATAAAAGAATTTTCCAATTAGCAGTTCCGCACTGAACAAAGGGCAATAGAATGGAAAGGTGGGGGGAAAAAGACACGAGGAAGGGTTAAAACAAAACAAATCGCGTGCACACTGAAGCACGGGGGTATCATAGCCGTTTCGCGAGTTCGGTTAACCGCAGAAACTTCAGGAGCACCTTCGTCGCTTTCTAGCTAGAAGCTCGAACACGGTGGCACTCCAAAAATGACTGCTCCGAAAGCACCTGGTCATCGATTCGAGTTAACTCTGCCGAGAGTAGTCTTTGGGAGCTATACTGAGGACAGTCGCAAAGAACGTGCGAAATGTTTTCGTCACTGCCACAGTGATCACACGCAGCACTGTCTGCCATTTTGATTCGGTGAATAAACCTGTTTGTAAATGACACTCCAAGCCACGAGCGGCATGTGATGGCTAATTTGGCTCGAAAGTGTCTGGTAGGGATTTGAACTTCAAGTGAAGGATACAGACGTAGTAGGTGGCTATGCTGAAAACAGGTCCAGTTCTGCATGGAATGTGCTATATGACTTGAGAGCGAGTGAATCTTACGTGATGCATTTGTTCCTGATCATGGAATAGATTCGTGCACGCCCTATTCATGGCCATTTCTTGAACACTTACCGGCACGTTCACTGCCGTCAATACCTCAGTGGCCTGGAAGCCACTGGAAAATTATTTCATGCCATTTGACTTTGAAATGCTGACAAATTTTTCTCATCTTCAATTATAGTTTATCTTGTGCATCAAGACGCAAAGCTGACGACACACACTTCAAGGCTCATTTTGCTTCATTTTTGTGGTGAGTTTAATTTAATCTGTGAAGTACACTGTGGAGTGCTGCCAGCTCCACAACTGTCAATGTAGTCCGTGAGACAATCTGAAATATTACATTTCGACTTGCAAGCGTTCAGTGTTCTGTGTTTATTATGCGTAAGCAAAGATATCGTGTCTCGTAAATAACGTGGTGTCTATCTATATGTATTTACCAGCTCCACGGCAGTCACAGCAGCTCCACAGCAGAGTGCTGCTAGTGCTACGGAGTGCTGCCAGCTCCACAGCAGTCAATGTAGTCCATGAGACAATCTTAAATAGTACATTTCGACTTTTGCTTTAAAGCTCACAGCTCCTGCAGATTCTTCAGGAGTTCTTGAACCATCCATGTACAGTTCAATGTGGTCTGCGCATTCCTCGTGTAGCATCAGCAGGAACAGGGGTTTTAAAGCTGGTGACGATAACCCTATTTTGTAAAAAAATTTCTGGTACTGTCACATGAAGGTAACGCTGATCCAGGCATCAAGACGGTGTCAGAATTGTTCAGAATTGTTTGAGAAGGCATACAGCCGATTGGAATGCAGTTTCGGTAAGGCGAAATTCTGTTGCAAAGCAGGCACAGGGCTAAATGTCTGGGAGCCAAGCTTATCGGGCAATAGCTCACTTTTGCTAGCTTTGTGAAAAAACAGGAGCGCTGGTTTGCAGGGAACCAACTTTGTACAGGTTTTTATTTACACAAGGTTATTACCAGTTGAGGCTTTTTACGGGACAAGATGGCGATGGCGACGGCTAAAGCGACGTGACAGCCTAAAGACTGTCGAAACTGTGAACATATTCACTATCACAATAATACAAGAGTTCACATATGACTCGAGCGCTGACTAGAATCCACAAGACCGATCCAGATTTTTGCCGACAGACAACATCGCTGAAGCCCACGTGTTCTTCGACACGCATTGTTTATTGTTACCCCGTCAATAAAAATATATTATTACTGCGACAATATGGAACTCACAAATGAAGAAATAAAGGCTCTTTCTGCGAGGCGCGAGTCTTTAATTAACTTAGCCTTTCGTCTCCATTTTACCCTTCCAGAGATTGTCTATTGGCTAGGCCAAACTTTATGCGTCAAGTGCGGCTTAATAGCGCACCTTGTAGCCGACATTTCCTCAAAATTTGTAGTGATCAAACCCTATCCTTCGAATTAAGGACTGGTGGCGAATTCTCCGTGAACCAAGGCCGCAAAACTTGTGAGAATCCGGGGTCTTTGATAAAAACAATCAAAATATCTCGAGCTTGTCGAACATAAAAACGAGGGACAGTGCGTTACATGGCCATCTTCATTGCGTTTCCCTGCGATAAACGGGCGATGTCGACACGAACAATCTCTTCAAACGTATTAATCTTGAAATCCGGTACATCTGGAAAAAAGCCTTCGTATTTTACGTTCGCGTCGAAACCATAGAGCTGGTTTCTTTGGCAAAAGACAATCCCGTTGTGCCCTGTGGGCAAAGATGCTGGATTTCACTTGGTAACAGTTGCGTATGTGCTGACACCGTTTGTCTGTAGTGCGCCTAGTTGGAAGACTTTGCTGAGGACAACCACTTTCAACTAGAACACGGTATTCAGGTGGCACCTGATGTCTAAGGAGATACTCTCTATCATGAGCCCCCACCCCCTCTTTCAACCCTGCACGTCAAAATGATAGATTAACAGATTAAAAACATTGCATGCTACGCCTCAAGCTAAACAAAAAGGCTGAACAGACAAAAACCAGTAGTTAGTTGTCCCCACCTAAAACGTTAGTCTCTTTTGAGCTCTTCGAGTACGTGAAATTACTTGATTCGATCGTCAAAATCTAGACAGAAGCCGACATATGGAAGCAACACAGTGGGATAATCAGGTTTAACAGTGAAAGTGCCTCAGACTGTCTGGCCGACATTTTGATTGCAGGACCTAACTGGGACATGCGCCACCACCATGAGTTGACGTCATCACTAACCCCTTCAGAACTAACATGCCAAGGATGACGCGGCGCCTTTGAAAAAGGTAGGCCCTCCTATCGAAACGTCGGCTAGCCAGTCTTAGGAACTTCCACTGTTAACTCGATTATCCCACTTGATTTTATCGCGTAGCCCAAACCTATTGCACCTTTGTGGCTAGTGTCAGTGGTGACTGCCTGTGGTTTCTCAAGACACACGTACGTATTAATACTTCTAAAGTGGAGTTGTAAAGGGCACCGTCGAGTTATGTACATTACAATGACCCTAATTCTCAAAGCTCACAGTGTAAACTTTCAAGCATGGTCACCAAGAATGGTGATATTTGTATGCTCTATATTTTCCTAGGAAGAATAGAAGTAAGTAGCAGGTTGAGCCATAAAATATTGCCGCATATGCTGCGCTTGGCCACGCTTCCATTTCGCTAATTAGGCAGGACGTTAGGTCTCCCTTAGGTAATCACTGACGGCAGCTTGCCGCCGAAATCGATGGGAAATCACAGCAAATTATCATTTTTTATTATGACTTAGATGTACATGGCAAACCTTTAACAGCACCTCAATGTGCTTCCCAATGAAACCAACTCATAATGTCGACAAGCGTGAATTTCAGTCATTTATCGCCGTTTTTTATTATCTTAATCTTAGTAAACACACGCATATGGAAGTAACGTGAAGTGAACGAAAGACGCTCTTGCGATCTGTGAGTCCAAAAGCCATCGTCAACCAATTATCAGCCTGATATTTTACAAATTAGGCCACATCGCTTGCAGTCATTTTGAGAGACTGTTAAGCTCGCGCACAAGATGAAGTGTTAGCCAGCGCTTCATTTGCATCTGTACAAAGTGGAAACGATGCCCTCAATATCATTCGTGGTTTCCGTTCTTTCGTAGCGACTGCTTCGTACTGGCAGACTTGAATTCTGCAGGTGGCATGCGAGATTGAATTGGACGGCAGTCAGCTTGTAAATATGTCGCGTGCTATGTGACTCCAAGGTATAAAGAGAGAGAAAAAAACACTTTATCGGAAAACGGCAGAATCTTGCCGGCGTCATCTTGCAAAAAGCTTAGTACTACGCTCCAGGCCTTTGCTGCGAGTGTTGCTGGAGAACACTAGCAAGATTTCTCGCGCGAAAATAGTCATCGGTATGAACGCGGGCAAGGGCGGCAACGTAGCAGAATTGATAAAGCACAGGTTGTGTGATTCAAAACTTGTTTTCCTGTATTTTCAATCACAGGAACCCGAAAATAAATTGCATTATAAAAAACACGTGAAGAACGCAA